TTATTTCTCCCACTTTTCCACTAAGGAGGGATTTGGGAGCAGATGGAGCCCGGGGAGTGGGGTGTCTCTTAACAACACGGGGTACGGTGATATTTAGGAGAGTCACAGAGCTGGATTCAAACCCTTGAGGACGGCCAGACTTCAGCGGTGGGGTCCTTTCCAGGGGACCCGGTGGGGAAGCTGGGCAGTGCACTCCGGCCGGGCTGGGCAAGGAGAAGTACAGTGACTTGTGCTCTAAGCGGCCGGTACTGGAGAAGGAGCAGGGGGAATTCTAGCTGGTGTGGAGATGGGCTTCAGGGACCGACTTCTCTAATGCCTCCAGCCACTCAGATAGCAATGGCCCCAGATTGGTCGTCTTATAGTCGGCACTCCACCGAAATTTTGTTATCAAACTCTACGCCCTTGGTGGTTACGGCATAAAAGAACTAACTCCTCTCTGCTTGCACTGTCAAGTATTGAACACACCAGCGTGGTGGAGTTGAAAGCCTTTGGCTGGGCTGCTTAGATGGAGCAAAAGTCTGTGAGAAGTTAAGAGCAAACAGCGACTGTTTTTGAGGAAGGGTAGTGAGTGGAAAGGCTGGTGGAAGAGGATGGCTTCCAGTGCTTTTATTGGGAAGATTTGAAGCCTCCCTGTGTTGTGTAATCGTTCACTTAACAGCACTGTGCTAGGCGTTAGGAACAAACCCAGTATGAATAAGAGCTCTCTCTTCCTTCCAGAACTCACCATCCCAGCTGGAGAGTCAGAAGAATTAAAACCAGGGGTGCCTGGCTGGCTCAGTCTGTAGAGCACGGGACTCTTGATCTCAGGGTTGTGATTTCGAGCCCCACGTTGGATGTAGAGATTACTTAAGAACAAAATCTTACCAAAAAAAAAAAAAAAAAAAAAAAATTAAAACCAGTCCTGGGCTGGCCTGGCTGTGGGTGCTACGTGCTAGGGGAACCCAGAGCTGGGCCACTCAGCCCAAGGGGAGGCCCACAGAGTAGGTAATGCTGGGACTGAGCGCGGAAAACCTCTTCACCAAGAAAACAAAGCAGGGAAGGCGGTTTCCAGCTGAGGGAACGGAAAGCACAAAGTCACCAAGACAGGGGGAGGGAGAGGGCGGGAGGGTAAGTGTGGGGAGAATTCCCAGTGTGCCCCCAGAGGGAAGGAGGATCTCACCGAAGCTGGGCTCAGATGATGTCCTAGAAAGCTCGCTGTGGTTGTTGGGCGGAGGTCTGGAGGAGAATGTGACCGCGGCTTTGCAGTGCCCGGGCCAGCATTACTGACGCGCAGATGATGGCAATGCTGAGGCGGGACGGACGGATCCAAGAGATTAAGAGGTAGGACCCTGGCGACGGGCACAGGTGAGGTAACTTAGACCAAAACCAAGTGCCGAAAAGCTCAGGAGAAAACAAAGCAAAGCAAAAGGAATGGATATTTTGAATGGCCCGAGTTTAGCAGATTACAACACTTGGACAACGAATTTGGCTCTAAATTTCCTGGCAGCTTAGAGACAAACAAAAATACACTGGATTGCACAGTTTTGGAGTTTGGACAACAGAAAGCTTACAAATTAATTTTCAGAACACAATTTTTCCTGGAATGAACTCAATAGGGAATTTGTCGTGAGGAACCTTGTGTAAAGACCAAAGAGTGACAGAGGGAAAAAAAAAATGTTCGTTGTCGGTGTTACAAGAGATGGGAAGATAAAATTCCACGTGACTGGCTCCTTATACCATCTTCCTGTTTTGACTTGGGAGCACACTGCATTTCTGCGGGCTGCTGAGCGTCAGCTCAGACTTGCGGGCAGTTGGGGCCAGGGGAAATCTATGCCCATGGTCTCAAGAGCCCATGGTCTCAAGTGGAGGAGGTGACACCAGCTTTGATGAATGTAGAGAGCAAAGCACCCCGGGTGCCCACCGTGAAAGGGAAGCAGGCAAGTCGTAGAACGGTCCCCCGGCTGGTAGACTGAGACTCTGGTCTGCTGAAGGGTCTGGTACGCAGTGTGCATCCAGAAACCCTGACCAAAAGGGAAGCAGGCAGTGGGGGCAGCATTCGAGGACTGCGGTCAGATGGGCAAGTCCACGTCTCACCCCCGACGCCCCGTCCCCACCAGATGCCCTCAGACCTGCTGTTAAGCCTGCTTCTCCACAGCAGGGAAAGGGTGGGACTCGGGAGACCAGAGATTCACCCTGAGTGAGGCCGGAGGGGGTGGGAATCTTGTTTGCTGCAATACCAGGAATGTCACAGGACAGGGAACGAGACCCAGAGTTGAGAGGTTCTGCTGACTCCGCCACAGATCCCTTGGCTGGGTCCTTCCCTTTGCTTTCTGAACAAGGGACGGAACCTGGGGAATCTATGTCCATGCATTGCTGCTGTTGAAACCATTTCTTGCTAATTTTAGATGTCTTAAATTAGCATTGAATAGGTGTGAGACTCTACTCCTCCAGCCCCCCTCCCCCATCACTTTCTTAATATTTGTAACTGGGAGTGGCCTGTTAAAACACACATTTAGGGGCGCCTGGGTGGCTCAGCCAGTTAAGTGTCTGACTTCAGCTCAGGTCATGATCTCACAGTTCATGGGTTCCAGCCCTGTGTTGGGCTCTGTGCTGACAGCTCAGAACCTGGAGCCTGCTTCAGATTCTGTGTCTCCCTCTCTCTCTCTGCCCCTCCCTTGCTTGTGCTCTCTCTGTCTCTGTCTCTGTCTCTCAAAAATAAACAAACATTAAAAGGGGGGTGGGGTGGGGCGCCTGGGTGGCTTAGTCGGTTAAGCATTTCAGGTCATGATCTCAGGATTTTTGAGTTCAAGCCCTGGGTTGGGTTCTGTGCTGACAGCTTAGAGCCTGGACCCTGCTTCAGATTCTGTGTCTCACTCTCTCTCTGCCCCTCCCCTGCTTGCACTCTCTCTGTCTCTGTCTCAAAAATAAATAAACATTAAAAAAAAAATAAAACTACACACACACACATTTAAATGTCTTAGGGGAGCATTTTTTAAGAACAGATGCCTGGGCCCCATGCTAGAGAGAGTAAATAAAAATCTCTGAGAATGGGCCCTGGGCATCGGTATTTTTGAAAGTCACAGGTGGTTTTAAGGTACAGCCAAGGGTGAGAGTGGCTGCTTTAACAATCACATAAAGGGTTCCTTACAGCAGGGGACAGAAACCTCAGATTCCAAAAACAAGGACCCCATAAAATTTAGTTAGGAAGCCCGTTACTCATAATAAAAATCAAATAGCTAATGTGCGTTCAACATCAGAATTTAAAGCCAGCTTGAACAGAGCTAGATACAAAGGCTGGTGGCAGACACATTTGTGTGTATATGAAGTATTTTTTTACAAAAATAGAAATTCTTGGGGCACCTGGGTGGCTCAGTCGGTTAAGCATCCAATTCTTTTTTTTTAATTTTTTTTTTTAACGTTTATTTATTTTTGAGACAGAGAGAGACAGAGCATGAACCGGGGAGGGTCAGAGAGAGGGAGACACAGAATCCAAAACAGGCTCCAGGCTCTGAGCTGTCAGCACAGAGCCCAACGCGGGGCTCGAACTCACGGACCGCGAGATCATGACCTGAGCCGAAGTCGGCCACTTAACCGACTGAGCCACCCAGGCACCCCTAAGCATCCGATTCTTAATTTAAACTCAGTTCATGATCTCACGATTTGTGAGGTTTGTGAGTTTGAGCTCCTCGTGGCAGTGCAGAGCCTGCTTGGGATTCTGTCTCTGTCTCTGTCTCTCTCTGTCTCTGTCTCTCTCTCTCTGTGTGCCCTTCACCTGCTATCTCTTTCTGTCAAAATAGATAAACATTTAAAATATTAAAAAATAAATAAAAATGAAAAAGAGAAACTCTAAAAGCAGAATCACAAGGCTTCTGCAGTTAGATTTGTCTAATCCAGCTGTATGCATGCTTCACCTTAGCCCAAACTGAGAACATTTGGTAACTTTCTCTCTTTGCTTGGAACTCACATAAGTCTACTTTTCTTGAGTGCTGAGCTTCTGAGTTCTGGGTACTTTCTACTTGCCTCAAGCAGACACTTCAAGTGTGTTTGTTTTCTAACCAATGTCTTCTGGATTGGAAAGAAGCTGGGAAAATCAGTTTGCAATGGAACATCCATAAAGTCTTAATCAAAAGGAATGAATCTGTACGGGTTGAATTCAGCAACTCTGACAGGATAATAGGGGAAATATTTTGAGGCTCAATGACTTTCCTTATAACACTCAAATACACCTTGCAGGCAGTTGCTTCTTTGGCTGTAGGCAAAGTTGACTCAGCTTCCTTTATGATCTCTGGAACCCCAGCCCCTTCTTTTTTGCTTCCTGAGGGCCCATGGAATGTCTCACAGGCACTCATGAGTGACCCAGGTTGTGTCATGCCCAGTCTCCTGTGTCTAGGCATGGACCCTTCTTTCTCCACAGAGCCAGATGGCCTCCATAGGTACCCCAGGTGATCTTTAATTTTTTTTTTTTCAACATTTATTTATTTTTGGGACAGAGAGAGACAGAGCATGAACGGGGGAGGGGCAGAGAGAGAGGGAGACACAGAATCGGAAACAGGCTCCAGGCTCTGAGCTGTCAGCCCAGAGCCCGACGCGGGGCTCGAACTCACGGACCGCGAGATCGTGACCTGGCTGAAGTCGGACGCTTAACCGACTGCGCCACCCAGGCGCCCCCCCAGGTGA